TCGTTATTGGCATTTTAGCTTCATCTTTCGTCTCTTCAACGAACGGTTCAAGGCCTGCTTGTTCTCGAGCGACATTGAAATCATCAACGCAGTTGACGGACTCTGCAGACAACCGAAACGACCACACATCAGTCAAAACTCACTGAAATTTTTCTCGATTCAGCTAGAATATAGGTTGCCTTGCATCGGTGTTTCTCCAACCCACCTGCTGACCCTTTTTCCTGCGGGGTCGAGGCGGCATCTCCGCGGGCGGCCAGCGCCGACAAGGCCAGCAGAACTGAACCGAAGCTTTTCATGGTTTTAGATGAGGATTCACCAGGAAAATCACAAGGGTACAATATTCCAAGCATATAAGGCTTATTGTAGCCTGAAGCTGCACCACAAAGCCTCTGCTACTAGCTGGCTGCAGGGTACGACTCGCTGTGTGGGCAGCTTGTCGGCTGCAGGAGCAGCATTCTGTGTGTTTGAGGCATGTGACCCTTCTACGTTGAGAACAGAAATTNCTTGTCGGCTGCAGGAGCAGCATTCTGTGTGTTTGAGGCATGTGACCCTTCTACGTTGAGAACAGAAATTCATTTCACTTCATCTAAAACAAATAATTTTGAGTTTTGCCTTTAACAATTTTGATTTCAGCTTAAATGAAGCAAGTTTCAGTGAGTATCGACGTCGTTCCACTCGTTTCGGCTTCGTACTTCACTGCCCTCGCACCCCCTCGGTGACGAACAGCACACGTCTAGGCGATTGCGTGGAAACAACGGCCCGTCTCTGCTGCCAATGCATTTCTTCTCGGTACATTGAATCCTTTGACATAACTTCCCGGTGTTCGGTCACTTTTTGCAAGGTGATTTGCAGAGTACAAACGAGGAAACTGGCAGGACAGTTCAATCGTTTTACTTCGTACATTACCTACGCTAGGAGTTGAACACACAACCCCCCGGCCGAATGTGGAGCACACTGGCTGAGAAAGCTGCAGCATTTCCTCGTGTCCTAGCTTAACGGCTTTGCCTGCTGCTGTGAATTTGCAACAAACTAGGAGTTTCTGTATGCCTTACACTGTGGCCGCCTAGCTTTGTACGAAATCTACAAATATCATGCTTCTCCCTTTACATACGATATACAGGAACACTGACAAACTCTAGCAGGTCCATAGATGCTCTGCCAGGGATCCTCCCTGTACTTGTTTTTTGTTCTTTAGCCTAGGGCGATGCCGTAAACTTGAGGACTTGTATTTGAAACGGTTCAGCGCTTTGAAGAGAGGACCGCGAAAGCGGAAAAAGAAGCGCGGCGGCAGCTAGCCGAAATGCAAATATCTGAAGGAAGCTGTTTCCTTTTGTTACACTGTGCCTAACCCCAGTTCTGTGGGCAGAGAACGTATCCTCTCTGCTCGTTCTGCAGACACTGGGGGAACTGCGGCTCCCTTAGTGCGTTCCTCGCAGCTGAAGTTTACAAAGACCTCAAGAGGTTTGCCTTCTTGAAGATGCTTAGAACATCATGAAAGAAGTGAGCAGAAGTAAAGCGGTAGCAAGGAGAGTAGACTGTGTAGAGGCAGAAGCGGAGTTCTCTATTGCGTCCTTTATCTCCTCCCAGACATCCTCGCTGCGCAGAAGCTCAAGCATAGCGAGAGGAAATAAACCATAAGAAAACAAATACGCCTTACACGTCAGCAAGAAAAGGTGGCAAAGCCCAGCATGGAAGCCATAGGGAGTCACGAGGGAACAACAGGCGCACGAGCAGAACTCAGAAACTGACATAACGGAAAATAGAAGGAAACAAGCTCGTACAAGGTTAAAGAAAGAAGGTTTGAACATAATGCGGCACGAAACGAATACTGTAACGTACAGTAAGCGGGGAGAAAGTGTAACTAAGCAGCGCTTTGAAGGCACACAAGCATCAACAGAATAGAGCAAGAAAGAATCCAACAGCACAAACAACACTGTACAGATGATGCAGCAAAATCCATGTAATATCTGAACCTCCTACAAACAAATGCTTCAGTAGAGCTTGGAAATGACTGAAGGAGGCGAAATGAGTACAAACAGCTGGTGAAAGCATATTTTTCGATGCAGCGCGAATCAAGGAATACAAACGGCAAGTGGGGAGGCTAGGAAACCTAGACGAAAGCGAGATGGCATAGTCTGGGCAACGTACGTGAAGGGCTTGTCTCCATCTACAAGTGCTGCAGGATTGGTGAGGCAAACGAGGCTGGTAACCGTCTCTGCAGCATCGGCGAGGCGC